CCCCCCCCCCACTCACCCATTTAAATTCTAACAAAACGACTCATAATTTCCTGAAGACCTTTACTGGGGAGATCCTTAGCTGCTGGTATCTCCAGAAATATTCACCAACAATGCTTCTGAGTAGTTAGTTGCCACTCAGAAAAAAGTGGTGGAACATACTAATTTTCTAGATGGTAAGAAACTAAAGTGCATACAGCCTATATTACTGGTCATCCGAAACATGGGAAGAAAAAATTGAAAGGAAGAAAAAGAAAATTACCCCTCTTCAAGACTTTCAAATTCTAGTGTAGCTTTGTCAGTTTCAATTTCACATAGTATATCCCCCACTTCTATCTGTTAGATAAATCATTACCAATGTGAAAATGATTAATTGATTCAAAGAAGTCAATCTCCAAAATAAAAGCATCAACACAAACAGAATTATGATCTACAACCATCAATATGAGAACTATATACTGACTGACCTTTTCTCCTTCTTTCTTCCTCCATTTTGCAATATTACCTTGTGTCTAAATCCAAGAGACGATGTCAACAACAATCCATAGAAGCCCTAAATGGAATAGAAATAAGACAAAGAGAGAAATATGTTTCCCCAAGCTTACCATTGTTGGAGATAAAGCTGGCATCCCAAGGACTTCGTGTGTAAAATCTATCAAGGGGGAAAATGATTAGAACATAACCCGATGCACATGATTTAATACATGCAGATTATCCTCTTTAAACACTAAAATTTAGTTAAAATAGCAAACAATAAAAAAAATGATAAAAGAAGAAAGCTATTGAAATGAAGAGAATGAACTACAAAGAGAACAAAGGATAAAGAACCCTCTTAACCAAAAAGAGAGAGGGAGAGAGAGAGGGAGATGGCATGGGATGGGAGAGTCTTGCGTGACAGCATGACAATGATTTCATGGGTGTGAGGCTCAAGAAGACACTGATCCCATGGATTTTCTAATAATCCTGACATTCCTACTCTGATACCACAAACGGGCAATCCTGGGGGGATAGGATCACACACAATCTTGGTAACAATGATTTAGTCAGAGATTAACAGCTGTACAATGCATTCAGTTACTGCCACCTGTCAGTGACAGCTAGATTTAGTTAGGATGTTGTTCAGTTATATATATCTGCAGTGTACATTCAGTTCACAGACTTAGTTGTGTAATGACAAAATATAGTTAGATTCATCAGCAAGTTTTCAACCCTCCATTCTCTCTCTTTCCCCTTACTTTCTATCAGCTTCTCTTGGTTTCTTGATAACTAATACAGCTTAATAATCACTTTGCATTGAGACTGGGGTCTCAGTTCCCTTGAAAAAACCATGACCAGACCACCTAAGAAAAATTCTTGACAGTAGACACATCAACAGTTTGACTGCCAAACACAACATGCTGCATCCTCCTCTCCCAGCTCCATCTCTTCTTGTATATGAACAAATTCAGCCAATTTCTCTCACAGCCACTTGAATAGAGCATTGGAAGGTGGTTAAAAGAATTCTTAGATGCCTGAAAGAGTCTATACACCATGGTCTTCTTCAGCCAGCACCATCAAACTATCCAATCCCCCTACTCACCTGTTATGTGGTAATAACTGATGGGTAACCCATTATTACGCTTATTTACTGGGCCTGCAGTTAGGAGCTACTGGGCCTGCAGTTAGGAGCTAACAAATAAAAAGGAGGAGTGCTAAGAGTAGGATGGGGATTGGAGGGAAACAAAAGAGTCAGAGGGAGAAGGAGAGCATAACAGAATGGAAAGCTGGCATAAGGAGAGTGGGGGAGGGAGATGCAAGGATCGTGCTAGGGGGGAGAAAGAATGATTATTTGAGGGAGGGTAGTGGAATGAGAGAGCTATGGGGATTCTTGAGTGAAAAATATCTGGCTAGGCTGAGTGAAGAAGGGGTTTTCCTCAGGAAAGGGATTATTCATTTATTCTTATTTCAGTTTTTGTCATTTTCATTCTGCAAGGAGCTCTGCCCCAGCTACGGTCTAGTTTTCATTAATTCTATACAGTAACAGAAGTTTCCCCTCTGATAAGTCATATTTCAGTATCAATACTATTTCAGTTTTCCTATTCAGGTTGAGACCAAAATGCAGATATTCTCACTAAAGCTAATATCCCCTCAAAGATTCACTACCTTTAGTGACAAGCTCAGAGTGTTTAAGTCCACAATGACTTTGATGTGGGGATTTTAAGAGTATATAAAAATATAGGGTAGTTAAGTATCTAAAAATATAGGAAAGTTTGTAAAGCCTTTGTGATCTTAGTTCTATAACACAATTCAGTTTCTGTTGTAATGATCACTAAATGTTAGAATGTTAGTTGGCTGTTTAACTATGTTGTAACAGACAGTTACAGACTCACTGCCAGCTGGCACTTCCAACTGCAGAGAAATTATTAGAACTCTGATATACAGCTAACTCTATGTAGAAGACTCACTTTTGTAATCTCTCTTCTCTCGATAGTAAGTTCGCATCACAGATTTCACTAAGATTTTCCTTTGCTTTCAGTCATTTTCTATGTCCATTATTTTACAATAATCTGCATCATCCTTCTGTCTCACCCCCACTAAATATCCATCTCTTCCTGTATATGAACACATTACCATAATCTCTTAACTTACTATATATAAGGTTCGCTAATATTTAGTTTTATAAGACATTTGAGTATAAATTACAAGGCTAAAAATTGCAACACATGATGTTACCTCTTGGATTTTATCACTGACACACATATAATGTCACTAAAAAAAACAAATAGACATCCAACACAAATATGCCATAATCTTTCAACTTAAAAAGCTAACACAGCATAGCATAATTCACATGAAATCTTCAAAATGGGAGCTTCCATAAACAGCCGTGGAAAAAAAATACATTGTAAATAAGAGAAGCACACAAGCATGAGTTTGTTTGGATACAAGTTTAAAAGAGTTTCTCTGCTAGAAAAACTCTTCATTTTCACTAAAGAGGCTCTCATTTTTTTAAGTTTGTATTCAAACAAACTCCATGTCAAGTGAAGCCAAAAAAATTAAAACTCTAAATTCTAACATTAGGTACCTGAAGATGAAAAGTATTTAACATCAGTCCACTGCCAAAAAGAAGTTGAAAGTTGTCAGACAACATCATAGTGACGATTGGAATTTTCATCCATTTAAATGCTAACCTTTGACTTCAAAGATCTATCACGAACTCCAGTAAGCCTGGACCACGATGCAGGCCTGATAAACATCAACATTAGTAAACTACCACGATGAAAATGCAGAAGACCGCAAAGAATGATGTGACAATTATATGACAATGGAGTTCAAACTGAACCACCTGACACTAGTACAATACTCAAGTTAATAATTCTATAAGTCTGTTTGAATACAAACTTATAAAAACTCTTGAGAGTTTCTCTACTTCTGATAGAGTAGTTCTCAAAAACTCTTCAAACTTATATTCAATCAGGCTCTGTGCTTGTCTGGTTTCACAATTTTATTTCAGCGTCTCAAGCCAGGTAATCTGATTCACACACGTGATTAGGTGGTCAAAACTCAAAAGGTGAACAACTTCAACCCTAATAGTGATAATAAGATATTCTCACTTTTTTGTTTAAACTAAAACTCCATATCTCTAAAGCTCAAACTAATTCCTCTCATAAGTAAGAATGGAAACAAGACTAGAATAAATCTAAATTCACAGATAATGAGGAGAAAAAAAAAACAAAAAACAAAAAACAAAGAAGCAGGGCAATGGATGCAAACCTTATATTGCTGTCACCTCCCAAGGTAAAAATCGTTGAAGTAGAAGTTCTGTGGGAAAAATATAAGCCGAAATTGTACGTCAGAAGCAGCATTATGAAATTAAAACAAGAAAAGCAGGAAATCTCGGAATTAAGATAGTAAAAGCGAGGCAAGTGAGAAATGAGATGGCAAAAGTAAACGATGATGTATTTATGCAGATGGATGAAATAACCAAATACGAAAAGGAATAAAATGAGATTGAAGAGTTGAGGAAGTGATTGCAATACCGAGAGATGGATCTGGCGGGAGAAGAAAGGAGGCGAAAGGAACGAGAGAAGAGAGGGTGACGAACGCGCCAGAGTGCCATGTCGTTGCGTCGATTTGATTCGATTCGGAAGAAAAGAGAAGAGAAAATGGGACTCTTCTCTGGTTAGTTACTTTTCTCCACGACGGGTAGGTAAGCCAGGTTATTGCTGCAAGTCTTTGTAAGCACACGTGACAGCCACCGTAAGCGGCGTTTTCCACACCGGCTACTTTATAAATAACTTCTTTTTTTTTTAGATTATTCTCGGTTTCTCATTATTTTTATGGAAGTTCATACAATTTTTTATAAAACAAATATTTTTATATTAATTATTATTTTAATGCATAAAAAATTGAACATAAAATATTTGATCGACACCATAATTTATAATTATTGAACTAAGAGATTTAATTATTTAAATATATCTAATTTTCAAGTTATTTATATAATTATGCATTTACTCTAATATTTCTCCCTTGATCTTAATTGTAATTTTTAGTTATTGTAGATTGACATAAAAGATACAATATTCGATACACTTTATATTTTTCATGATTCAAGTTCGACATCTCTTGCAATCATAAAATTTTAATTTGATAAGCATACTTGTTCAAAGAATTTTTTTAGTATTAAAGGTGAAATTTCTCTAATAAATATATGTTAGCTCTTAATTCGACAAATAAAGTACTAAATCAAATTGAACACTAAGTTTTCATTAACCACTAAGTCGATATTAGTATTTGATATGAGAATTTTTAACATGTCATTAATTATTTATTCGATAATCATGAAATGTCATCCTCAAACTACCATTTTATTCATAAAAAAATATAACCTATTATTTTACATACCACTTTCTCTCTTTGAAAAAAAAAAAGGAGTATTATATTTATTTATATTTTAAAAAATACTACTTCATACATCTAACAACCATTGTGATAGGAATATAATAGCCAGGCCCAGAAAGTTACCATATTGGGCTAAAGATTACTTAATGGACTAGAGAATATAATGTTAGTTTGGGCTTTATTATAATTGTTTTCCTCCAAGGTCTTTAGACCATTGTAAGGGTATTTAACCCCTTTGTCACCACCGAATGAGCAGGATGAAATTCCTGATTTAGATTTTTCTTAGATTTGCTCTTGTAGACCTAAGTTCTCTATAGACTCTATCAAATTGGTGCTTTCATTGTTATGGCTCCTAAGCCTAATCGGGATGCTGACCTCAACCGTGACGAGGCCATTGCCAACCTCACTTCTCAAATTGCTGATTTACAGGTACAATTGTCCCAACAAAATCAAATTCATGATGAACGTCATGCTGCTTTAACCACTCTAATGTCCAGCTTGATGGACACTTTCACCCAACAATTGAACCAGCCCCCCGTCGTTACTTCCACACCCCCCCCACCTCTCACCGTGCCTGGTACCCTTAGCCAAAGCCAAACCGCTCCATTGATTTCCAACCCACCGCCATACAATTCCTCCCCAACATTTTCTACCACTACATCTTCTACCTCCCATCTACATAATCCATACGCTCCCCCGTTTCCTCACCATAATTTTTTTGCCCATCCCAACCCTAACCCTATCCCATACACCACTCCCATGGCCACTCCTATATCTTTCCCTTCCGCTATACGTCCTCCCAAGTTACAACTATCCTTATTTGATGGATTTGAGCCTTTGGATTGGATTTTCCAGGCTGAACAGTTCTT